CCACCTTAGGTGTATGTGGCTGGCGCCTTAGCCAATTGAGCCACAGGCGCTGAGCCTTAATGACTTATTCTTACCAAAAAAGCATACATCTCTTTGACCATTCAGAATACCTATGTCTATTACAGTCAGTTTCTCTCTGCCTTGACAAAATTAGATTAATATTGCCTAATACTTGGTCATTTAATAAAACATCTTTAGGATTCTATACAGAATACATACTTTTAAATTATTACTATTATTATATTTCAGATTAATATGGGGGTAAAAACAACTCATTATTATTGCTTTTATAGAGATGCAGTCTTGCTATGCTTCCCAGGTTGGTCTTAAACTGCCATTCTCAAGTGATTCTCCTGCTTCAGCCTGCCAAAGTGTTACAAGGATGAAACACTACACCTAGCCCTGTTTTTTATTTCTGATCAAATTGCAAATATGTCATTACAGTTGTTTCTTGGTAGTTTTAATTTGGAAAATAAACCTAGACCTGTTTCTAAGGTAGCATTAAGTAAAAACTTCCTTTGTCACTGTACTGTGAAATAAAACTACCTACTACTTAAGGTCAATCTATAATTATATACATGCTGGAAAATCTAAGAAGGTGAAACTATCTAAAAATATAAGAAATAATGTAAGTCAAGATTTGAGTCATATTTAAAGAGCCAAATCATCTTTACTTAGCTTAGAAAACTGACATTTACTTATATTTTCTCTATAAAAACTTATTAATCATGAAAAATCTTCTACTTGTTTTCTACTTTCTTTAAGCCAGTCATAGCCAGGTCAACCATCTCTGTTCCTTCTTCTTATATTGACCCATATTCAAACGTGACCTGGCAAATGCTTCTTCATCCTATAGAGCTGTCATCTGTAGTAAGAGGTATTCTTTGACACATGCTGCTGCTGCTCACTTTAAGGTAGACCCCAGATTTACTAAATCTTCTCTGTGCTATCTACCGTGTTTCCCTGAAAATATTTTTTCTCAAGAAGACACATTACGGCTTATATTCAGGGGATGTCTTATTTTTATTAAGTATAATACAACAATCTACATTTATTCAAATACAGTTAAGTTATCTTCTTCTGAACCTGACAGGGGAGCCGACCTGTTGGTGGGGCTGGCGCTAGTCACGTGTGAACTACTTTCCCCTAGCCGTTCGCACGTGCGCAATAGGATATCTGCGACTATGGTTATCACATGCACACCTACGCAAGTGCAAAGGGCTCGGAGAAAGGAGCTGTGGCAGATAAAAGGTATTCCAGTCTTCCTTACCGCTGCATGGCGTGGCTATGCAGATACGCTGCATAGTCATACCCATCACTAGATCTTATTTTGGGGTAGGGCTTATATTTAACATATGCATAGAAATCCTGCTAGGGCTCATTTTTTGGGTAGGTCTTACTTTCAGAGAAACACGGTATGTACATCCTTCTACAATTCTATTTCTCAAATTACACTTATTTCTTTCTATATTTGAACTACCTTAATAGACTATGTACTTCTTGATGAATACTACCTTCCACATCTGTGTATACTGTAAGTTTTGCAAATGGTATACACTGTATACATGCATATACTTTCACTTTGCTCATTTGCTAGTAAGTGGTAAGTGTTTAGAAAAATGCTGCTCAGGCTCGGCGCCTGTGGCTCAAGTGGCTAAGGCACCAGCCACATACACCTAAGGTGGTGGGTTCAAATCCAGCCCGGGCCCTACAAACAACAATGACAGCGGCAACCAAAAAATAGGCAGGCGTTGTGGCGGGTGCCTGTGGTCCCAGCTATTTGGGAGGTGGAGGCAGGAGACTCGCTTGAGCCCAGGAGATAGAGGTTGCTGTGAGCTGTGATGCCATGGCACTCTACCCAGGGGGACAGCTTGAGGCTCTGTCTCAAAAAAAGAAAAGAAAAGAAAAGAAAAAAAGAAAAATGCTGCTCAGTGGTTCACTATAAAAAAAGATTAACAGTTTGAGAAAAAGAGGGTGAGTCTTCCATTAAAGGAGATTACTAAAGCTACTGGAAAGGAAAGCTCAACACTTTACCTCAGCAATCCAACAAATTACTGGACAGTTACAATGGTCTGCCATTTCTTTCTTTTCACAAAAAACTCAAATGCCATTAGAAAACTACCCTCTTTTGAAGCAACTCATACAAATAATATATTAGTGTGCCACACTGACATGCAGAAAGGCTTCTTCATACCCTCTTTTGGTAAAACTGTATGATCACATTTTCTAAAATAAAACATATCCATCTCCAAGTTGCTGAATATAGAGGTAAAAATAGGACTGAAGTTATATATGCATATAATTATTGTCTGAATCTTGAAATCTGAATAACTAGGGTTTAAATCTATTTCTTTTCAAGATAGTACCTGTGTTCAAAGGCTATGTAACTTTCAGATAGAAATCAGAATTTTAGAAAAAGGATGTCAAACTTCACATCATTCATTCTAGCTCAAATTGAGGGCTGCAGTTGCCAGTCAATTTCAAATGTTTGGGGAAAATAATAATTAAACTTTCTATTAAAGCTGCATATCTTATAGTCTTTTCAGCTTTTTTTCCCTCTTTTTTTTTTTTGAAACTCAGTCTCATTTTGTCACCCTTTTAGAGCACTGTGATGTCACAGTTCACAGCAACCTCAAACACTTCAGCTCAAGCAACTCTCTTGCCTCAGCCTCCCAAGTAGCTAGGACTATAGGTGTCCGCCACAATGCCCAGCTATTTTAGAGAAAGGGTCTTGCTCTTGCTCAGGCTGGTCTGGAACCCACGAGCTCAGGCAATCCACCCACCTTGGCCTCCCAGAGTGCTAGGATTATAGGCGTGACCCACCACGCCTGGCCTTCTCTTCTGCTTTTTAAAGTGATAAACACATAAAATACAAATTTTTGAGCATAGATAGTATGCAAGTTTGCATTTAAATAAAATAATACATATGGCATCTAGCACAGTGCTCTGACACATTTTGGGCATTCCAGAAGTAAAGCAAGTGTGCTCTGGCTCACAAGACAAAGTATCTACAAGAGAATCAGTGTGAACTAGAGGTGGTAGCATGTGCACAGGAAGGCAGAACTCCAATTAAAATGAAGACATGTATGTATACTGTAAGTCTAGATTTTAAACTGAAGTTTGTTTGGGTTTTTCTTTTATTCATTTTTTTAAAGGATTTTATTTTATTTTATTTTGGAGACAGAGCCTTAAGCTGTCACCCTGGGTAGAGTACCGTGGCATCACAGCTCACAGCAACTTCCAGCTCTTGGGCTGAAGCGATTCTCTTGCCTCAGTCTCCCGAGTAGCTGGGACTACAGGCGTCTGCCACAATGCCTGGCTATTTTTTGTTGCAGTTTGGCCAGGGCTGGGTTCGAACCCACTACCCTCCGTATATGGGGCCTGTGCCCTACTCACTGAGCCATAGGTGCCACCTGAGTTTTATTTTATTTATTATTTATTTATTTTGCAGTTTTTGGCCAGAGCTGGGTTTGAACCTGCCACGTCCCACATATGCAGCTGGTGCCCTACTCCTTTGAGCCACAGGTGCTGCTCAGTTTTATTTTTCTTAAAGAAGGCAGTTTCTTTTCTTTTTTTTTTGAGACAGAGCCTCAAGCTGTCGCCCTGGATAGATTGCTACGGCATCACAGCTCACAGCAACCTCCAACTCCTGGGCTGAAGCGATTCTCCTGCCTCTGCCTCCCAAGTAGCTGGGACTACAGGCACCCGCCACAACGCCAGGCGCTTTTTTTTGGTTGCAGCCGTCATTGGTGTTTGGAGGGCCTGGGCTGGATTCGAAAATGCCAGCTCAGGTGTATTTGCCTGGTGCCTTAGCTGCTTGAGCCACAGGCACCGAGCCTGAGTTTTCCTTTTATATAGGACTGAAATTGCCGAGTCATTCCACTGAATGTGGAAATTCAGTTTTAGTACATTTTACCAAACAATTTCCAGAAGTGGTTATTCCAATACATTCCAACCGGCCATGTATGAGTGCTCAAATTGCTCCATACATAACTCACCAAAACGTGACCATTCTTTCTCATTTTGAACATCTGATGGGTTTTAGTTTGCACTTCCTTGACAGCTCCTGAGGTTGAACACCTTGTTTCACGTTTATTGGCTAATATAATTGTCACAGATTGAAGTGTTCTCCTACCCACCCCCATTCCCAATTCACATGTCTAAGTCCTTGTGCCTCAGAATGTGACTGTAATTGGAAAGAGAAGTTTAAAGAGGTTATTAAAGTTAACTGAAGTCATATGGCATTTCCTAATCCAATATGACCAATATCCTTTTAAGCAGGGAAAGAGATACTAGATCTGCACACCAATGGAGGAAAGACAAAGCAAGAAGGCAATCAATCACTTGTAAGGTCAAGGAAAAAGGCTTCAGGCCAAATCAAACCTGCCAACATCTTGATCTTTGATAGTTTACAGAATTGAGAGAAAACTAATACAAATATATTGTTCAAAGAACCCAGTCTGTGGTATAAGTTACGGCAGCCCTAGCAAATTAATGTAACAATATTCTCTTTTGTAAAGAGCTTAACTATGATAGCCCTGCAACATTTTTAGACTTCTATAATTTTATGAAACTTACTTCAAATCATATAAATCATACAATATAAATTCATTATTCTTAAAGTCAAAGAAATAAAAAGCTATTTGACAGCTGAAGAATATGACAACAAAATATTTAAACCACTAAGTATCTAAACATCTAAAGTACTATTCTTAGAGCAAATAAACAATTTATAACAGTAAGAAACAGCAATCTCTATCTATCTATACATTTTCTTTCTTTCTTTCTTTCTTTCTTTCAAGAGTCAGAGTCTCACTTTATCGCCCTCAGTAGAGTGCTGTACCATCACAGCTCACAGCAACCTCCAACTCCTGGGCTTAGGCGAGTCTCTTGCCTCAGTCTCCCAAGTAGCTGGGACTACAGGTGCCCACCGCAACGCCTGGCTATTTTTGTTCTTGTTGCAGTTCGGCTGGGGCCGAGTTCGAACAGGCTACCCTCAGTATATGGGGCCGGCACCCTACCCACTGAGCCACAGGTCCTGCCTATATCTATACATTTTTAATTTTGAAAATACTTGACTAGTATATGTGGAAGGTTTAATGGAAATCAGTCGCTTAGATCCAAATGTCACTCTGAACTACAAACCCAAATAATTAAGAGTTCTCACATGCTGTAGGGGTAAAAGACACTGGCCTCGGTCCTCCAGGATTTATTGGTGGGAGGGGTGGCATGGTGGGAGGTGAGGATCTGGACTGTATCTTCACTTCCACAGGTGACCCAGGCATTGCTGGCACCCTTTTCTCAGGACCAACTGTAGAGAAAAAAAGAAATAGAAGTCAGAATTTCCCACAACATAATGCAAATAGCAAGAATAATTTGAAATACAAACACATTTTCCTAGATGATCAAGAAATTAAGAAGATGCTGAGTGTAATGGGTTGAACAGTGCTCCCCCCAAGGATATGTCCACGTCCTAACATTTGGAAATATGAATATTACTTTATTTGGAAAAAGAATCTTTGAATATATATTCAGGTTAAGGATCTTGAGAGGAGGAGGTATCCTAGATCATCTGAGTGGGCTCTAAACACAATCTGAATGGTGTCCTACAGAAAAGAAGAAACATATACACAGAGGTAAACCAATGTGAAGACGTCACACAGAGAGAGTGGCATATAAGAGAGGCAGAGATTGATGCATCTACAAACCAAAGAATGCTAAGGATTGTTGACAACCACCAGAAGCTAGGAGACAGACATGGCATAGATTATTCCTCTGAAGCCCCAGAAATGAATCAACTCTGATGATACCCTCATTTTGGATTTCTGGCTTCCTAAAAATAACCTTTATTGTATTAAGCCACCCAGTTTGTGGGACTTTGTTAAATCAACCCTAAAACTAGGGAACAAGGATAAGGAGTGACATGATCTGAAAACTAACAGTGTATAGATAGTGGGCTGAAAACAGAAAAAATGTTACAAACGTAGCTTGCTCCAGATGCATTCCCTTTTTACTTCTCCATATAAATAATCAAACTAGTAGGGAACTTATGTGGGAATTATCTAGACTGGTAGGCCTCAACCACATAACATGAAAATAGAATCATAATCAGTTCTATGCAAATTATTACTAACAATGAAGTATTAAATTTTTAAATACCAACTATACCAAGTAGGAAAAAAGAGATGGAGTCAATCTCTCTTACCAGGCATATAAATATCATTTATATAAATTGTTCAAAAAGATGAAAAGTGAAACTGATTCTAAAGTAAGCAGAAGCTATTTCACCCATTAGAACAATTAATAATAAGCACCTGTTTCATAACTTGCTAAATGGCAACCAAATTCTAGAAAGAGAAACGAGATAAAACTGACAATGTTAAGGGGGAAGGATGGGTGGAGGGAGGGTAATTGGTGCATTTTACAAGGGTACATGTTAAATCTACTAAGCGTAGAATATATATGTCTCAACATAATAACTAAGAAAATGTGGTGAAGGCTATGTTAACCAGTTTGATAAAAGCATTTCAAATTGTATATAAAACCAGTACATTGTATACCATAATTGCATTGATGTACACGGCTATGATTTAATTAAAAAAAAAAAAGAACAAAAACTAACAATGTTAGGATTAGGCCTGGGCCAATATGAATCATACTTGATACTGAGAAGTAATGCTCTAATATCTTCAAGAATTATAATTCGTGGCTGGCATGGTGGCTCACACCTATAATCCTAGCACTTTGGGAGGCTGAGGTGGGTGGATTGCTTGAGCTCACAGGTTCCAGCCCAGCCCAAGGCAAAGCCAGACCCTGTCTCTACTAAAAATACAAAAAAAGAAGTTATAATTTGTTACATACTTGATTAATAATAGGCCAGGGCTACTATAGCATCTTTTAATTGAGCTATGCTTCTCTTAGTGATTTTAAGCTCTTCATTTAAGTTTCATGCATTCATCGTCTAATAACTGTTGAATTCAACTTAAAAATCCAAGAAGTGGGCAGCAAAGGTTCAAATGAGAATGTTATGTCAAAGTTTTCTTTCTGTGAGATATGCTGTCTCAGTGCCTATAGCTCAGTGGTTAGGGTGCTGACCACATACACTGGGGCTGGCAGGTTTGAACCCAGCCCAGGCCTGCTAAAAATAATGACAACAATTACAACAAAAAAATAGCCAGGTGTTGTGGTGGACACCTGTAGTCCCAGCTACTTGGGAGGCTGAGGCAAGAGGATCGGCTTAAGCCCAAGAGTTGGAGGTTGCTGTTAGTTGTGACATCACAGCACTCTACTGAGGGCGACATATTGAGACTTTGTCGCCAAAAAGAAAAAAAAAAAACACAACATATTATAAACAAGACTGTTCACAATACAACCAACAAGGTACATCTTTGCATATTCACAAGACATCTTATAGTGAGAAAAATAGCTATTCTCATTTCAAAGCACATTTTTTGATGCTTGTTTGCAGTGGCCACACTTTGGAAAGAGTTATAACGAATAATCAAATTCAATCAAGGACACAATGCCCCCAAATTACAAATCCCCTGACAAAAATGTGCAGCTCTCTGAAAACCATGTGGGGCAACACTCTTGCCAACCTTTCTCATCTTTCTGTTCAGGACATTTTCTTTATGAAATTGATGGTCGTCCTGTCTGATTAGTGGACTAATAAGCTGTTGCGCTTGCCTTTTTCTCCCTGACAGTATTTTTTCAATGCCCTTCAGAGAACAGTTGACACATTTCCAGCTTTTCCATCTGGGGCCCAGCTTTCTAGAGGTGGTAGGAGAGAAGGGAAGGAAGGAACTGACAGTTGTCTCGCACTGCAATGTGTTGTGTATAGTGTGCAACAACCTAGAGGAAGCCTTTCTTCAGACCACCTGCCTTTATAGCAAGGGCGCCAAAGGCCTGAGGAGGGCTCAGCAGTGAGATGTGTTTTAACATTCAGTACTTGGCAGAATAAAAAACACTGGAGCAGCCCAACTGCAGAACACTGAACCGTATGCTGTTAGCAAATAAAAGATAATGGGCACGACCCAGCCGCTAGAGTAGTGTTTACAAATTAATATCCATTTCTTATTCATTTCATTACTCACAAACTTGCAACACCAGTGTTATTTCTCATATTTCAAGCAATAATAAAGCAAAAAAAGGCACAGGTATGGAGACCAAGAGATTTGGTGTGACTCCTCATTCTGTTACCCATAAGTTACATGAATCACTAAAATGATTTTTAGTAAATCACTTCTGGGTCTCGTTTTCAACATATGTAAAATAAGTAATAAAAAGACCAACCTCAAAGGAAAGATATAAGGATTAAAGAAAATGTCTAGGCCAGTTAAGCACAAAAAGTGTGCTTAATAAATAGTATTTATGTTTCGAATACTGGGATCTTGGTGTCAAATTCTGAATTTACCACTTAACTACACATTTGACCCTGTCCAAGTTAACATGAACATGTTTCCTATAGAAAATGAGTTTACTGGGCTCGGCGCCTATAGCTCAACCGGCTAAGGCGCCAGCCACGTACACCTAAGGTGGCGGGTTCGAATCCCCAGCCCGGACCCGCCAAACAACAATGATGGCTGCAACCAAAAAATAGCCGGGCGTTGTGGCGGGCGCCTGTGGTCCCAGCTACTCGGGAGGCAGAGGCAGGAGACTCGCTTGAGCCCAGGAGTTGGAGGTTGCTGTGAGCTGTAATGCCATGGCACTCTACCCAGGGGGACAGCTTGAGGCTCTGTCTCAAAAAAAAAAAAAAAGAAAATGAGTTTACTACCAACAATTTATTCACTCAACCTCATAAACATTCTGCTGACTAACTGCAGAATTACAGTTGCAAAGGCACCAAGCAAGGTGGTATTTTTGCTGGAGGCTAAGTGGCATTAATGCCTTTCATGGTTTAAGAGATCTATCCAAGTAGTTTATAACATGTCAAATTCAGCATTGCTCAGATGATGGGTAAGTTCCAGCTGCCTACATCCCAAAGCAGGCACACTAACTTTCTGCTTGGGGACAGAGCAGGATTAGAGTAACTCCCTGTAAAATGATGACTATGACATGCTTTATGACATCACAGTTTTCTGAAGTTTTATAAAACTGATGGTAGTGCTATATTCTAGCTGAATTCCTTGACCAACCTTACCTTGAGTTCTTTTCAAATCCCAGAGAAATTCAAATAAATTTAGTTCAAGGAAAAGAAATCTCTTTCTCTCAACTGTGTCTTGGGCCTATAAACACCACAAGTAACTATAAAGTATTTGGTCCTAGAAAAGCAAAATAATCGGGCTAGGTGCGGTGGCTCACACCTGTAATCCTAGCACTCTGGGAGTCCAAGGCAGGTGGATTGTCTGACTCATAGATTTGAGACCAGCCTGAGCAAGAGCGAGACCCCATCTCTAAAAATAGCTGGGTGTTCTGGAGGGCACCTAAAGTCCCAGCTACTCAGGAGGCTGAGGCAAGAGAATTGCTTGAGCCCAAGAGTTTGAGGTTACTGTGAGCTATGACGTCATGACACTATACCGAGGATGACAAAATGAGAATGTCTCAAAGAAAAAAAAAAATAGAACTATTCTGTAGTTTCAAAAGAAAATAATACTAAACATATAGTCTGCCCTTATCTGTTGTCTCATTTTCCTCAGTTTCAGTTATCTTCAGTCAACCACAGACAGAAAATATTAAATAAAAAATTCCAGAAATATGGGCAGCGCCTGTGGCTCAAAGGAGTAGGGCACTGGCACCATATGCCAGAGGTAGAAGGTTCAAACCCAGACCCGGCCCAAAAACTGCAAAAAGAAAAAAAAATTCAGAAATAAACAATTCATGAAGTTTTAGGTTGTGGCTTGGCGCCTGTGGCTCAAGTGGCTAAGGTGCCAGCGACATACACCTAAAGGTGGCGGGTTCGAATCCAGCCCGGACCCGCCAAACAACCATGGCTGCAACCAAAAAATAGCTGGGCATTGTGGCAGGTGCCTGTGGTCCCAGCTACTTGGGAGGC